CCCCCCCCCGCAAAGGTTGATTATCTCGTCTAGATCTAGTCCAGTCCCCGGCAGAGAAGGATTCTTTGAAAGGAGAATCCACCTCCTTTCATATATGCAAGATCTGTGCTTTGCATGTGGTGGAATGTCTGCTTTTTATGCAGAAGGCAGTGGCTCCAGAGATTGGTTCCTTCAGTGAAATCAAGCTCAGGCAGAATTGCTGTCATTGGGCCAACGGTCTGACTTGCTTAGAACACATCTGCTGATATATGTACAGGTAGACCCAGCACAGCAGTTCCTTCTCTGAGCCTTGGTGGTGTCTCCTTTGCAGGGCTGGAGTTTGAACGCTGGCTGAATGCTACGGGGCCTCCTTTAATTGAGCCAGACTTATCTCAGGGATCCAGTCTGACCCACCCGGTGGAGACGCTCTTCCATCTCTGGACCACAGAACCTCTGGATGCCGTGGCTGCCGCCAACAGCGTCAACATCGCCGAGTGGCAAACCTTCCAGACGGTGCTTTTCCTGGACAGGCTCCTGGATGGCTCGCCGCTGCCTCACGGTGAGTTTTGCTGAGTTGCCAGGGCTGGTTCCCGCTTCATGCATTCAGGCCAGTGGTTCCCACCCTTGGGGTCCCCAGATGTTCCTGGACTACAATTCCCAGAAATCCTGGTCCGCACAGCCAGTGGTGAAGGTTTCTGGACAACGTTCCCTCTAATTTTCTGCCAGCGTGTGCGGGGTTCCAACCGTGACTGGAACTAAATGGGCAGCAACACGAGTTGCGGGTGTGCAGCACCAGTGCATCACTGCGCGGCTGCGCACCCATGCAGCTTAGAAGAAATGTTGCTTCTGGGAGTTGTAGTCCAAGAGCACCTTAAAGTTGGGATCCACTGGTCTAGACAACGCAGATGGTACAAATAATAAGGGGCCAGGCGAGTGGGGAAGGGTCCCCAAAGTGTAAGACTGGATGAGGGGGTTCTTCAGAGTTATCAGGAATGAAGTCCAGTAAAAGGGTAAATATTGCTCTGTAGCAGAGCACCGCAAATATCTTCCCCTTCCCGGTGAGAGGAGGGATTTAGAGACGCTGGCCTCGACTCACCATGACACGAATTCCCGCATTCCAGCGAATTTACATTTCCTAGTTGTAAATTTTGAAGACCAGACCCTGCACATGGGAGGCTGTTGCACAGTAGATTTCTCTGCCTCCTGTTGCTTAAAAGGTGTTCACCCAAAGAGCCCATGCATTCTCTATGCCATGGCCCTGAGCCTCTAAGAGCATTTGTTTCTAAATTACGTGGCTAGAAGGAGAAAGGAATTGTGCAAAGAGTTATTGGAAATGTTTCCCACAAGCATTTTTCATGGGAACTTCTTTTCATAATGGGGTTTTTCTTCTTCGCAAAAATTCTTTGTAAGATCCCATATTGCACGCACTTATTTCACACGGGTGCTTCTGATGTCAGAGAGGGGGAGTGTTTCTCGAATCGAGATCGCTTGAGGGTCTGACTTTTACTTGAAATATGGTCTTCCTTTCAACAGAGAACTGATCAGAAAGCAAACTGAAAATAAATAAAGCCCATGTGGAATAGAAAGAGAAGAAAATTAAAGGATCAAACTAGATTAAACCTATTGGTGGTAAAGCTCCACTAATCCCGAAATGCACCACAGAATAAAAGTAGAGGACGCACATGTACCGTTATTTTTTGCTTCTAAATGGATTGATGGATGGATGAATGAATAAATAAGTAGATAGCATGTATTGCAAAGAATATATCCAGCCTCAAACCCAGGAATATTTTGGGTGTTTTAATCTGCTTGGGCAGCTGTACTGGGAAGGGGCCATTTTTGCGAATTTACTCTTCAAAACGTCGTGCAGGATTTCTAGGTTGGAACAGTTTCTTCCCTCCTGGGTATGTTCCTTCTGTCTTTTGTACAAAACCTCCTGGTTCCAATACGGAATCTTTTGATATATGGTTTTCAGAGGTCATATCCAAGCTCTCCGAATGCTACTCGGCCCAGCTGGATGGCATGAACGCAGAAATCCGAATCCGTTGGCTGCAGATCATTGTTCGCAATGACTACTACCCTGACCTTCACAAAGTCCGGAGCTTCTTGGAAAACCAGGTACGGTCATTGTTTGGGTTCCCCTTGTGCCACTTAAGGCCTGAGATACAGGCCTAAATCCCGTCCCCAATTCTTGCTAAAATTGCCCAGTTCAATCAGTGGCTGAATAGTGAATCAGCAGGAGGCCTGTCCCACTGAGTCAACCAATGGCTTTAGTGTCGTTGGGACTGTCCGTTGCATGCAAGTCTTGAGCAGGAAACAGGTGGCGCCCGGTAGATGGAAGGGCATTGCCCGTTGACTGTGCTAGGTGGACAGTAGAGTTGACTGTTCAGTATGAGGGCTAATATGGCTTCATTCTAGCTCCTACAAGACATGCCTAGAAGGATTCACAGTGTGTTGTCAAACATGGTAGCGCATGAACAGCAGTCCTGTGTCATCATAGAGGTGGATTCTCCTTTACGGAGCTTTTCAAACAAGGTCTGGGTGGGTTTAGAGCTCTGTAGTTCTGTGAATGCAACTTTGAGGGTGTGCCCGGAAAAGGCAGGGCAGAAACAATGCAACCGTGTTGTTAATCATTCTTTTAAACCTGAGCATTGTGTTCATTCTCCTGGTTAATACATATGTAATTACGTTTGCATTTTGAAGTGCTTCTGCTGTAATCCTCAAAACACAGGGGATTGCGCTGTCATTATGACCTGCCTTGTAAGCCTTGCCATGTAAGGGATGTCAGCTGATGAGCAGACAGACGGAGGTCTTAAAGGTCAGAGAGAGAATAGCTCGCCCAAGGCCATCTGCTGAATTCTTAGCCACAGTGCTGCGTCATCTTTCCTTGCAAGATGCTGATCTCGTTCTCTTGGCCTCCTAGATGTCTCGGATGTACACGATTCCCCTGTACGAGGACCTCTGCACTGGACACTTGAAGTCCTTCGCCTTAGAAGTTTTCTACCAGACCCAAAACCAGCTGCACCCCAACTTAAGGAAGACGATCCAGCAGATCTTGACGCAGGGCTTGAACCCTCTGGTGGCTGCCGAGGCGACGGCTGTTGCGGCCGCAGCGACGCAGAGCCCGCCTGCTGGGCTCAAGGACAAAACTCCGGAAGCTGCCCATGGTGCCATTTCTCTCAGGGACGTAAACGTTTCTGCTTAGGTGTGCCAGCTTGTGCCTAGCATTTGAAGCTGTGGGGCGGCGGAGGGGTCAAGCAAGAAGGAGGCCATGTGAAGGAAGTAATGTCGTCTCGCCTCTTGTGCTACCGCTGGCCCTGCTGGGGGACCGGATTCATGACTCCCTCTTCCTTCCCTTATCCCGACCCCCCCTCCCCTCCACACACCCATATGTGCCTTCACGTGCCTGACACACTGGCACAACCAGGTATCAGGGATATGTTTCCTTATGGCTACAAGGTGGAACCATTACGGGATGGGGGCTCTTTTTTTTTGGAATTGATGCATCGTGAGTGTATATTCCAGGGTCACTTTTTTCTCTCCCCCCCCCCAGCCGTTTCAGGGACTTGATTAATAGCTCAGCCTCCAGACACTGAAAGAGGTGGTGTGCGCCGTTGAGGAAGCAATGAGAAGGGGGTGGGGAAATGATCAGGATCGAGGTGTGGGATGTGGTGATTTGAAAGCAGGGACGATGCTTTTGCAAAGAACCACCGTGTTTATAAAATTGAAAGGAAGGGGCATGTGGGGTTTTTTTTTGTCCATTTGTCCTTTTTACTGTGTGATTCAGGAGGCAGAGAATCTTGCTCAGCGAAAAACCTGTTGCGAAGCAGAGCCTTAAAGGTGCCGTCAAGGGTCTCAAGTGTTTGCAGACCTGGCCATGATTTAGCACCCTCCTGTCACCCAGTTCACTTTGATATCCAGACCCTGTTAAACTGCAGCCTGGCCAGAGGCCAGTGGTCTTCACCTCTGCTGCAGATCCAAGTCTTGGCCTCTCTGAGTGCCTGACTCTGAGTCCTGAAAGCCAGTGGGGCAAATGCCTCTTGCACATCAATACATGGGGGGGCATCTGCAGCATGGACGGAGTCCACCAGTGCATTTCCAAGTTGGCCAACCTCTCATTTTAAAGGAGGCCGGCGGAAGAGAAGGTCCTGGTGGGTTCCGGCTCTTGCCCCCAGGAACACAAGAGCGAACAAATGGGCTAAATGTCCGAATTAATTTATTTCCTTTGTGCTCCTTTCGGCTTGCAGTTTGACAAGGTCTTTAAGACAGTCTCTTGATCAGAAAGCCTGCCTTTTCCAGGGCTACCTTCAGTATCCTGTTGACAGCCAACAAGAATCATGCTCTAGGGGGTGGAGAGAAGACAGCGTGCAGTGCGTTCCCGAAACAACCCAGCCCTGTTGAATGGATCTTTATTAGATACAGGCAGAGGGAGGTCCTCTGTGTGGCACTGTTGCACCTTTCAAGGGATGGCCTAAAGGTGAGCGTGATGCATCTTTTTCCTGCTCTGGGAGGGGCTGAGTTTTTAATCCCTCCTTGAGGACCGTCTGCAAGAAACAAGAGAGCTTGATCATTGAACAAGAGAGGAGTATAAGACAGCTCCCAGAGAAAAGAACATGTTGGAAATCGTGACATCTTTGGGGCCATAGGGGCTGGATAGGAACATGTGCGTCTGCCGTTTTGAAAGACCGTTATCCCTGCGGCCTCCTTTACATTTTGGGGGTAGGTGGCACACAAATCTTTTCAGCAGTAACTTTGTAGAGCACTGGTTCCCAACTATGGGTTCCCAGATGTTCTTGGACTGAAACTGAGATGCTGTCACCACTAGCTGTGCGGGCTAGGAGTTCTGGAGGTTGTCATCTAAGAACATCTGGGGACCCAAGATGTTGGGAACCAGTGCTGTAAAATGTAGAGGAGATCTCTTGGTTTCCTGCACTTAGGACTGTGCGGAGGATTGGCAGCACACTTCACACCTGCATGACTCCAGTTTCATATGTTTCATCCAGCTGCTGCCAAAGCAGGAAGATGCCGTTGTGGAATTTGCCCTGACTTGTAATCTGAGGCCTAAGACTATTAACCTTCCTTGGGAATCAGTAACTCCTGGCAGCTGCACCACGTTCGGGACAAGGCAAGGAGGAAGGGATTTGGACGGAAGCCCCCGTGCAAAAAACAGTTTACAGCTGTGGGTGGAGAGGAGATCCCTGCTGTCATCTTCAATGTTTCCCTTTCTTCTGATCTCAACATTTTTTGACTATTTTCGTTCCACGTTAGTCTGCTTCAGATGAAATGGGAAAGCTGCAGTAAACATGGGCCTCAGAGAGATGTCTCATTGACATTGAAATATTTAAGAATTTCGGCAAGTTCTGCTCTTCCACAAATGAGAACTTAGTTAAGTGAGGAATAGGATGTATCCCCCCACTGCAATCCAGCAAGTATGTCTTGCTGTTTATTTTGCATGCAGCACCTTTTGACACCACTTCATGTCTGGCAGAGGACCCCCCCTCCCCAAACCACTAGCCTGGTCTTCCTGCCACCACAGGCCTCTATTTTAATTGCATTTTATTTTTTTTTCTGGGAGAATGTATGGGGATTCCTTTTAAATGTTATATTGATGCCTTACAATAACATCACTGATAAATGTTGAATTAAACTATCGGACTTGTGACTTTCAGAGCTGTGTCGTTTCTCCCCAACCCCATCCTCAGCTTTTATTCTGCTGTCCGTGCTTCCCAGATTTTCCTTCCCCTAAACCATAGTTCCTCCCAGCATTTTATAAAGACAAAGAAAATATGGATAGAAGAACGAAGAGCGCTTTCCAGTGAAGCATTTATTGCACCTACCATTCTTCTGTATGAAGTGGACCTTAGAAACCTCTGATATTTTGCATTAAAAGATTTAGGTATAGATCAGCCTGCGGCAGAGTGACAACGGAGTAATCCATCCAAGGGGCTGTTAGTAAGGCAGCTCAGCAACACATATAGAGGACCTAAAACTGATGATAATTTGTGGTACAGTGGGATGTGGCACTGCAGAAGCCTCTGTGCTGCAAGGTCAGAAGACCAGCCGTCGTAAGATCGAATCCACGCAAGGGAGGGCGCTCCCGTCGCTTGTCCCAGCTCCTGCCAACCTAGCCGCTTGAAAGCGTGTAAAAAAGTGAGTAGATAAATAGGTACCACCTCGGTGGGAAGGTCAGGGCGTTCCGTGTCTAGTCACGCTGACC